CCTCAGCTTCCCAAGTAACTGGGACTACAGGCACCTACCACAACACCTGGGTAATTTTTCTGTTTTTAGTAGAGATAGGGTCTCTTGTTGAGGCTGGTCTCAAACTCCTGAGTTCGAGTGAACCTCTGGCCTCAGCCTCCCAGAGCACTAGGATTACAGGCATGAGCCACTGCATCTGACCTGTTTTTTATCTCTTTACTCATTTGGAGTCTTTCTTCCCTTCTGGCTATGTCAAGGCCAGTATAGGAAACCCATTTAAGCCATTTCACCTTGACAGGGTAGTTTTAAAGCTTTGTGTGATCACTATTAGTCTCAGAGTAGTCTAAGAAATAATTTTACATCCTTGCTTTTAAAATTAGACCTTAGTAAGGACCAAAAACATGCTGCAGAGAAGCAGCATATTTAGGGGAAACTGCAGTCTGCCTAGGAGTTAGAAGACCTCAGTTCCAGCTCTGTCACGTAGGTTAGTGCTCTGCGATCCTCAAACCTCAGTTTCCTCACCTATCAAATGGGGATGGTAGTACCAGTCCACACGTAGTGAAATGGGTTTTCTCACACCCTGCCAATGGAACTATAAGTTGCTTCAGTGTCTATGAATGTCGTGTGGCTGTGCGTACCAAGAATCCTAAAAATATGCATGCCCTTTGACTCAGTAATTCTGCTTCTGGAAAGTAATCTGAAATCTGGCAAGGATTTCCACACAGAATGTTCTACACAACATGGTTTATGATAGTGAATATTGAAAACAACCAAAAGTTCCAAAAAGTATTCCACTGGTAGAATAGTCAGACATAAAAAAAAAAAAATGATGTTTATATGTCTAGTTAAACCTCTGGAACCTAGATCATTTTACTGGAAATGCATAGTTTAAAAAAAAAAAAAGATTATGAGGCAATGCCTGTGGCTCAGTGAGTAGGGCACCAGCCCCATATACCAAGAATGGCGGGTTCAAACCCAACCCCGGCCAAACTGCAACAAAAAATAGCTGGACATTGTGGTAGGCACCGTTAGTCCCAGCTACTCGGGAGGCTGAGGCAGGAGAATCAGCTAAACCCAAGAGCTGGAGGTTGCTGTGAGCTGTGACACTACAGCATTCAACCGAGGGTGACAAAGTGAGATTCTGTCTCTAAAAAAAAAAATTATGTGACACCACAGGATATATCAGCAAAATTCAATGTCTAGGAACAGGAGTGTTGAACCTTTTTCTTTTCTGCTATCCATCGGAAGAGTAAGAGTTGTCCTGGGGCGCACAGCAAATACACAAACACTAACAAAAGCTGATGCGCATAAAAAGGTCTGTGCATACCTATCATGGTATCTAGCACCACAGATAAGCAAAATAGTCCTCAGATAGTCTGCATGTGGCCCATAGGCCCAGGTTGGACACTCCTGATAGAGTAAACAACCGGGTTTCATCAAGAAGTAAGCTTTCAGCTGGGTGTGGGGCGCACACCTGTAATCCGAGCACTCTGGAAGGATGCCTGAGACAACTCTGAGCAAGAGACCCTGTGTCTACTAAAAATAGAAAAGCTAGCTGGGCATTGTGGTAGGTGCCTGTGTTTCCAGCTACTCAGAAAGCTGAGGCATGAGGATCACTTGAGCCTAAAAAGTTTGAGGTTGCTGTGAGCCGATGTAAGGCTTAGTGCCTGTGGGTCAGTGGTTAGGGCGCCAACCACATAGACCAAGGCTGGTGGGTTTGTACCCGGCCCAGGCCTGCTAAACAACAATGACAACTACAACAAAAAATAGCCAGGCATTATGGCCAGCTACTTGGGAGGCTGAGGCAAGAGGACTGTTTAAGCCCAAGAGTTTAAGGTTGCTATGAGCTGAGACACCAGTACTGAGGGCAACATAATAAGACTCTGTCTCAGAAAAAACAAATGTGATATATGTTAACCAGTCACAATCTGTGATTCTTATTTGGTTTCTAATATTTTAAAAGAAATATTAAAAATGTTAGAACATTTACAATACATTTGGAAATTTAAACAGTAGGTATTTTATGGTAGTAAGAAATTATTATGATTTTAGCTGGATGTGGTGACTCATACCTGTAATCCTAGCACTCTAGGAGATTGAGGCCGATGGATTGCTTTAGCTCAGGAGTTCAAGACCAGCCCAAGCAAGAACAAGACCCTATCTCTACTAAAAATAGAAAATCTAGCCAGGAGTTATGACAGGTGCCTGTAGTCCCGGCTACTTGGGGGGCTGAGGCAAGAGGATTATTCAAGCCCAAGAGTTTGGGATTGCTGTGAGCTGTGACACAACGGCACCCTACTCAGGGCAACAGAGTGAGAATTTGTCTCAAAAAAAAGAAAGAAAGAAAGAAAGAAATTTAGTATAATGTTACAATGTCAACAGAAACACATGAAAAGAAATTTATCAAACAGTGACTTGTAAAGGTAAAGTTGTGGCCAACTTTTTTACTTCTTTTACTTACAATTTAAATTTCTATAATGAACATATATCACTTTTATAATCAGAAAAAGAATTTTCTACTTCCTATGGTCAGAACACTTTTAGAAACTTAACTTGAAATAACAAGTAAAAATAAGCCAAGGCTCTAAGCACAAGCCAGTGCTGCGTGATGACTTTCTGGGCAACAGATGATCTATAAGATGGTAATGCTGCATTTTTTCTTATAAGATTATAATACCCTTCCCATGTTCAGATAAACAAAATACTTGCCATTTGTTACAGTTGCCTGCAGTATTTGCAGCCTGGGAGGAGTAGGCTCTCCCATATACCTTGGGGGTACAGTGAGCAGGCTGTACCACCTAGCTTTGTGTAAGTCCACTCTGTGGATGTTTCATCAAACAATGAAAAGTCACCTAATGATGTGTTTTTCAGAACTCATCTCTGTCATTAAGCATCATGGGACTATCTGCCATTAGGGCTTCATCCCTTTCTCGCAGTCCTGCTTATCTCTACCTGGCTTTATTCTATAGGCTTGTCCTCTTTGTAACAAGTTGGCTACTCGCAACCCCCAGATTCACATCTCTCAGTTCAGATCTCCTCAGTAGAAGGAGATTTTTCCTCTGGTCTTATATTCCACAGAAGATGTTAATTGGTCCTCCTTGGTCACATACCCATCCTGGATCTAGTGGTTACAAGCCAAGATGATGAGTACGTTGACTGATCTGGAGCACGTGCCCACTCCTGCTCTAACAGGAGGGCACCTGTGTTTCACAGCTCCCTACCCCCCAGACATGGATGGGAGAGGAAAAAGTTCTGGGAAGACAAAAAATAAAGCTTCACAGTCTGCTCCTCATGGTGTTCTCGGGATAAATCACTGGGATCTTTAAGGCAAAAAAAAAAACCAAAAAAAAAACACCACACTTTCTAAATTGAAAAGTTCTGTACAAATGCAAAAAGCAAAACAAATTTTAAAAGTCCAATTCTATTAAGTTAGATTATAATAAGATCTCAAGTGTACATGTATCAGTCTGTCAGTTACCTTCATAATAAGAGATGAGGGCTGGTGGTTATCACTGTACACTTCCCAATTTTAAAACTGTAGGAGACACACAGTAGGCCAGATAGATACATTTTCTAATGTAAAAGGAAAAAGGGGACATTATTTTGCACCTTCTCAGTAGTAAACTTGGAGATGGCTCCAAACATGAAATATTCATCAGATTCTCCATTCACAAAGTGATATGTTGGTGAATGACTAGTGATGAAAATTGTAGTGGACTCACAGGCAGCAACCTCAGTCCTTTATATATATCTCGGAAAGCGAATGTGTTGACTTGCAGAACCTGTATTTATGGTCCCCCCTCCTTTTACATGTAAGTTCAGCAGCACTGGATCTGTGTAAAATGTCTGAGCTAAGGTTGATATATCCACAAGAGCCTGCTACAGTCTTAAAATATTCTTTTCAATGATTGCTGCTTTGTGGACTAACGAAAGAATTAAGATTGTGAATCCAGTTTATAAACAACTCTAGAAAACGGTTATTAAATGTTATTGCCAACCCTCAGGACTGGTATTTTTCATAATGGAAGGCAACTTGATTCTCACTATTTGTTATGCTCCTAGTAGTGATAGAGTTTTTAAAACTGGAGACCTTGCAGTTGGCATTAGCAGTTTAAGTGGTTATAAGAGGGCCTGGGTTGAATCACTGTATTGTATCCTCTAATTCCTTGCATTCTTGTGAGTTTGGCTCCAAATGTTTTTTTAATTCTTAATTATTATGGGTATGTATCTTTATAGGGTACATGTGATGTTTTGATATAGGCATAAAACATGAATTAATCAAATTGGGATAATTAGAGTATCTATTACCTCAGGCATTTATTATTTCTTTGTGTTAGGACCATTCTAGTTCTACTCTTAGTTATTTTAAAGTGTACCCTAACTTACTGTTATTGTCACTTTGTTGTTCTATGAAATATTGTTTATCCTAATGACTTTTTAACAGCATAAAGGTCATTATAAATCATTTCATCTATCGTCAGACTCTTTAGACCATAAAAATGATCAGATAATCATTTTCATTCATTTTTCTTAAAAAGTAGTATCAGAATACTAAAAGAAAGGAGAGAAAAACAACTCTTATAGAAATAGCTGATTAATTAGGACTAAATCTAAGGAAATTTTCACTTGAGATGCTTTATTTAAACCTGTACTGAGGGAGTCCAGGCCTGTGTATAGTAAGATTTATCATTAAAGGGCAGTGCCTGTGGTTCAATGAGTAGGGTGCTGGCCCCAAATACCAAGGATGGCGGGTTCAAACCCGGCCCCGGCCAAACTGCAACAAAAAAATAGCCAGGCATTGTGGCAGGCGCCTATATTCCCAGTTACTTAGGAGGCTGAGGCAACAGAATCGCCTAAGCCCAGGATTTGGAGGTTGCTGTGAATTGTGTGATGTCACAGCACTCTACCGAGGGCGATAAAGTGAGACTCTGTCTCTGGAAAAAAAAAAGAGATTAATCATTGAAGGTGAAGATGTCGAGGCCTATGCAGACTGATACCATGTGTTTCTCCTCCGCATCCAGCTACGTGGTGAACATGGGTCTGATTGACAAACTGTGTGCCTGCTTCCTCTCGGTGCAAGGTCCAGTGGACGAGAACCCCAAGATGGCCACATTTCTGCAGCATGCCACGGGGCTCTTACATGGAATGTGCACCTTGTGCTTTGCTGTCACTGGAAGGTAAGACTAGAACTCAGTCTACACTCAACTCTTGGGCTGTCTCTTGCATTTTGTCATCATTGGGTCATTTCATAGGGATGTATGTGGTCTTCTTGGCCCCTTTCCTCTTTGTTCTTCCTGTATCATCAGCTTTCTCTACTGAGATACGCATTATTTTTCTTATTTTCCTGGGCCCCATCCTCCTGCCACATGTTCCTACCAGAGTCTTTACTTCTTGTTGGTGTCATAAATTTGACTGTCCCTACTGGAAAAGACTGAAGAAATCATTCAGTCTGCCTCCTACTGAGACTCAGAGGACTCAGATGATTCTTCTGGAGTTAGTGAATCAATGAAAGCTCAATCAGATCAAGCCAGGCCCTCAGCTCGGCGCAGAGCAGCCTCACGGTGCTCATGGCCATTGTTCATGTGCTTTTAGTCAGAGTCTCCTAGACATTATTTATTCTCCTTCTGTCCATTCTTCCAGAGCATTTCCATGAGTAAAGGAAGAGACTCATCCAAATACAGTAGCTCCATGAAGTCATACATGACCCATGGGCATGATTAAAGTCAGTGTGTCAGGGACTACTACAGGCCTGCTTGGCTCTGTAGACCCCACCTATGCCATCCCACCCTGTGCACTGTCATCAAAATAATTCTGTAGGAAAAACGGGAAACTCTCATGTCTTCTTCCCACCAAATAAGGATCATTTACAATAATGGCTCAATGTTTCTTTTTTCTTTTTCCTTTTTTTTTTTTTTTTGAGACGGAGTCTCACTTTGTTATCCTCAGTAGAGTGCTGTGGCATCATAGCTCACAGTGATTCTTTTGCCTCAGCCTCCCAAGTAGCTGGGACTCCAGGCACCCACCACAACACCCAGCTGTTTTTAGAGATGGGGTCTTGGCTTGCTTGGGCTGGTCTAGAACTCGTGAGCTCAAGCAATCCACCCACCTTGGCCTCCCAGAGTGCTAGGATTATAGGTGTGAGCCACCACTCTCAGCCTGTACTCAGCGTTTATGAAGGGCATATGACATAAGGGGCATACTGAAGATGTCTGATAAAATAATTTTCTTACAATGAAATTCTAAACAGTACTTATATGTATTATATATTTATTAGAGATTTACCTGGTAGAAAACTAATTATTTGAAACTTCTAAAGTCTAGCTTTGTAAAGAAGTATTATCTGTCTATATGCAATGTACACAGAGTACCAGTGACTGCTTGTATATTTGGAACATTTTAAGACAGGGAATTTGTTTTCTAAAATAAAAATCCTCAACATTTCTTAGTTCATTATATACAGGGACCCTAAAATCCCCTATTTTTCTTTGCTCCTACCCAGTCCCTTACTATCAGTCCCATTTCTTGTAAGATTAAGGCTGTCTGAGATGTCAGGGAAGCCAAGCATGACATAATTCGGTGTTCTGAGTTAGTCTGTTCCCATCAAGAAATGCAGATGGAGCCTACCTTCCAGGGATTGCACAAGAACTCAGGAAGTAACTGTCTATGAGTGTGTGACCTAAGCAGAATCAGGGAGTACCATGCTATAGTAATAGGGCTCCGTCCAGGACAGTGGCCCATGCCAGCTTCCTGGAAGCCACCATTCTGCCCAGCTGGTTCCACTGCAATGGCCAGGCCCCTCCCTGGGAGTATCTTCTCACCCAGGAGACCCCTTTGGTCCTCACTCTTTTTGTATACACAGCATTACAAACCTGCCACCATCTCGAGCCTGATCCACTGTGCTCTTCTCTTGAATGGATCTGGGTCTTCCTGTATCAGGTGGGTGTACAGTTTGTGGGCTTCAGCTTTCACTTACATGCAGGTTCAGTCACCTAAAACCTGGAGAACTTGAAAGAAACCAAAGGACATTCACAGTCACTCACTTCTATAGGGAAAGCCACTGACTTAAATTAGAATCCAGGATTTCTAGCTTGGTGTTCCTACCCCTAACTTCTTATTATTCAAAATGTGGGAACATGAATTTGGTTTCTTTGAACATTTCCTCAGTTACATATGTGGCAAACAGGACCCTCCTCTCTTTAACAGACACAGTCATGCTCTTGTCCTGAGGACACTCACTGAGCATCTGTCTTATGCCAGACACCAAGCTAAGTATTGAAGACACTGCCCTGAGGAAGCCCAGAGTCTAGTGTGGGGTCAGCTAAATGTTCTTAGTTACAAGATGATAGCTACAGCAGAAGAGAATGTGCACAGAGTAAGGCCCAGAGGAGGCCCAAAAAGCTTCAGTAGCATAACTTAAAAGGATCCAGAATAAGCAGAAAAAAAATTCAATTGAGAAAAAGGGCATAATATATACATTGTAGGTGTAGCAGATATCCTTGGTGCCTCTGGTTCACCCAGACGTCACCTGCCAGTGGCTTCCTATATTTCTCTGCCTGAGGATATTCTCTGGACCAGGAGCTATTTGCCAGAGTACAAGAGAGTTAATACCTCCAGAGCTGACCCTCAAATAATAAATTGGTGGATAATATCACAGCTTTCCTAATCCTTAGTGGGACAATTCCAAGGTATGTTCTGTACCGTCTCTCAGAGGGGTCCAGTAGTAACCTGTTTGTCCTTAATCAGCTTTTCTCTTTCCCTGTGTCCCTTCTCTAGCTCCTCACAAATGATCTATTTGCATCCATATTATTTCAGGATCTGCTTTGGGGACATCCAAACCAGGAGATATGGACTACAAGGCTTTGTATCACATTCACTTTTGACATAGCTGTACAGTAAGGTGATTGGGGAGAGGGGCAGGAGATAAGGTGAATGCTGGTTCTCGGGAGGCTCAAGAGATAAAAGAGCTAGATAAAAGATAAAGAGCCACTCAAGTAGTTTCAAAGGGACATTGTAGAGCCATCACTCCTGCAAAGTATAGAGATGGCTGGAATGGCATAAGCCTAGAGGCAGAAGGATTAGTAAAGAGGTTCTTACCCTGATCCAAGGGAGAAATGCTAAGGGCCAGTGCAGAGAGAAAGGAGAAAATACATTAAGGGGAAGCAGAGTAAAATGTAGGGGGGTGACAGAGGGGCCGATGATGTGGTAGGGAAAGGAGAAGAGGGGTGTGGAAAGACTCCCAGGTTTCTGAAGATTTTGAGCGATAGCCAATATCTTCTCCAAATTAGAAAATACAAGCAGTTTTTCATAGTGAAAATATTATCATCAATCACAATATAGGATTATCATATATGTATATAGACTTTGGTCTACTTGGATAAGCCTGAGGCACGTCTATTTTATATTTATTGTATATTTTATATATGTAATAAATTTTATATACAAATTTAAAATGAAGTTTTATGTTTATTTTATATATCATATATGAACTATAATTGTTTCTATGTAAATATATGGATTTTAAATCAATGATTTGCTGTTGGTGGTTTTTAACAGTTCTGAATCCGTTTTTCCCCAATGTAAAAATTTTCTTCTCAAACTTCAGTTGCTTGAGAAATTTCTTTTACTAGGACTTGTTTTAAAAAAAAATTACCTTAGAAGAAAGGTCCTGGGGTTTCCTGGCTTAATTTACCTAGAAATTCTTATCCTTCAATCCCCGAACATTTCCTGAACACTACCAAACCACAGGAATATAGGTTTTTCTACCTCTTCAAATTTGTCTACCTCTAATAATTATAGATTGTTCCATATTGTTCCCCATTTGTTCATGGAAATTATATTTCTAAACTATAAACTACAGTGACCTGTTCAAGCATTTTATATGTATTAAATAGAGTTCTGCTCCAGGTCATGACCATGTCTAAGAAGAAGGGTAGTGTGGTTTTTGCTTTATTAGAGTAATTCACATAATGTCTATTTTGGCTACCAGAAGCCAGCCAGAGCCAGGGAGTCAAAGAAGGCTTGTCCTTAAAGCCCTTTTGTGAGTAGCAGGAATAAAAGAAAAAGAGGAGCCAGAGAGGCCCTCAAAAATCGCCTCTTGTCCAGGCAGACCCTGAGATAATTAAGCTGACTAATTGATGGGGTGAGACTTTGAGTAAACACGCTGCTTCTGCTGGTGGCCCGGCCTTTGTGGTGGTGATTACCGCAGGCCTGCCTCTGCTCCGCTCTTCTTTGTGCCCTTAATCTTCTAATTTTTACCTAGGTTTTCTGAAAGACAATTTGGGTGTCAGAATTTGTGCCAGTTGATCTTTGGAGTGGAAAAGCACTAGCTGATGACTTTTGTGTCAGGCTTGGTTTTGAACAATGAACTTGTATTTCTTTGTGTAAAAATTGAAATAGTGATCCTCTGGTAAAAAGGTTGATTTTAATTTAGGACCGCTCCAGAATTTCAATATGGGAATTATTCACAAACTGTAATTCTTGGTCACTTAAGCAAATTGCAACAGTTTGTTAGAACTTTCAGAAATGCCTACTTCTTTGGCCTTTACTATCAGCAGTTTTCTGTTCTTAACTCTGCAAGAAATAAAGAGAAAAGGATGATTTTCAAATCTCAGGGCAGCAACTCAGCTGCGGTAATTGGATGAGGCTAATGGAGTCCCCCTTAAGGGGCTGACTCCTTAGCACAACTAATAGGATCAGACCAGCAATGAGTAATTATAAACTGCAACCAACACAGCTGTTAACTTAATCAGCAACCATTTATTGCTGGAACAGTGGTGAGAGGACTGGGAGGTGGTGGACTCACAGTAAAAAGTTAGCGATCCTTGCACCTACTCTGAAAACAAAGAGGTGATTGGTTGGAGAAGACTATTCTGAATTCTAGAATATTTTTACACAAAAGGAAGTTTGGTGTATGTATTTGTGTTTTTCATTTTTACATCCATAAACTACACTAACAAAATGTATAGTTTTTGGAAACCTGTGCAGTGAAAAGATAAGAGTGATTGGTGATTTAGCCCTTTAATTATGCTGTTATAAATGAGTGCTTCTCAAGTGTTTAAGGATACTTGAAAACCATTTGTTCAAGCAAAGGTAAACTTTAACTTTGCCTGCCTGCCTATTCATTCATTCATCGAACAAATATTTATGTTGCACTTGTTCTGTGCCAGGCCCTGTGCTG